GGATTTGGAGACTGTTTGGGATTTGGAGATTGTTTGGTTGCCATTTAGGATTTGGAGACTGTTTGGGATTTGGAGGTTGTTTGGATGCTATTTAGGATTTGGAGATTGTTTGGTTGCCATTTAGGATTTGGAGGCTCTTTGGTGTTGGAGGCTGTTTGGGTTTGGGAATCCCTGGAGCTCTCCCCTGTCCCATCCCGCAGCGAACTCTTCCCACGGGCTCTGTCCCGCAGAACCAGCCCCGCCTTGGACGCCGCGGGATGGATTAGTCAGGGCCGCCCCGGGCTAATGACGGAGTTCAGCCCGGCTTTATTGCCTGTCACGTAATTACGGCGTTAAACCCGGCTTATTGCCCGTCACTTATCGCCCCACACCGCAATATCTGCGGGATGCCTCACGGGCCGGACCTGCCGGTTCCACCCAAGGCTCACCTGCCTCCCAGCCCGGCATCCAATGGCTCTTTCCCACTATAAATAGAATTTTGCCCCAAAAGTTTTGGTTTTGGTTTTGACACAGCCGGGCTGTCAGGGTATGAAGTGAAACCCTGCAGCGGGATTGATGTCGCAGACATCTTTTATGGAAAATCCTTTCCTTAGGATTTTTCCTCCTGAGAAGCTGGGAGGCCTCAGGAACAAAATGCAAACATTGATTATCTGCTGCTGTGGAATGCAACAGGTGCGTCTGGGATTGGTCTCATGTGGTTGTTTCTAATTAATGGCCAATCACAGCCCAGCTGGCTCGGACAGAGAGCCGAGCCACAAACCTTTGTTATCATTCTTTTCTGTTCTATTCTTAGCCAGCCTTCTGATGAAATCCTTTCTTCTCTTCTTTTAGTATAGTTTTAATATATCATAAAATAATAAATCAAGCCTTCTGAAACGTGGAGTCAGATCCTTCATCTCTTCCGTCATCCTAACACCCCTTTGAGCACCATCACAGGTGAGAGGTGAAATCTCTGGTGGTTTCATCACCATTTGGGTCTCTGTGGAACCTTCCAGAACCTCCTGGTTGCTTCTGCCACAACCAGAATCGTTCCCAGGCTTCACCCAGCTCCAAACAAACACCAAGGTGGTGCTGGATTCTGGCTCATTGCTTCTGGGAACTCTGGGATTTGCTGATTCAGCTGCTCTAAAGGGAATTTTGAGGCATCCAGGAACAGGGTTACAACACCTGGGCTGCAATTTGCAAGTCAGCTCCGAGCTGCAGTTCAAACATTCTTCGGTTTAGTCCCTGCCCTTAAATCTCCTCTTCAAGCTGGGTCTTATTTCTTCCTTATTTCTGGGTCTTATTTCTTCCTTATTTCTGGGTTTTATTTCTTCCTTATTTCTGGGTTTTATTTCTTCCTTATTTTGGAGGCTGAGGAGCCACATCTCAGGTGGGTCCAAGTGCTGGGAGAATTCCAAGACATGGGAACTGAATGCAAGTTAATTATTGAAGAAATAAGGAAAAAAAATCAAAGTGTTTGGGACATAAAGGAGCACATGGCTCTTTCTTGATGCACCCAGGAAAAAGGTGATTTCTGAAGGTCAGGGTTTCTAGGAATGCATTTAATGCAGAAAAGGGAATGGGTTTGGTTCTGCCTTTTCCCAAACCTGCAATAACTCACCTGGGGAGAGCTGGGGTTGGAATGGGATGAGATTTAATGTCCCTCCCAACCCAAAGCATTCCTGCTGCTGCAGGGAGGGAGGGAGATCCTCCCCCTTTGGGTTGGGATGCTGGAGGAGAGGGAGATGCTGTTCAGGACAGGAATTTTCCCCATTTTTGTTGCCCTGAGTCAGCCCAGCCTGGGTGAAACCACAGCCCGAGGTGAGCAGGGCCAGAGGAATTTGGGGAATGGAGATGTCCCTGCCCCTGAGAGGGGCTGGAAGGTCAGCAGTGATTCACAGCAGGGCATTAAAAAGGGAAATAGGACGGAATTCCTTCTCCGAGCTGTTTGTGTCGCTCCCAGCTGAGCCTGGAGCAGATGGGGAGGTTCCTGCCCTGCAGACAAGGATGTTCTTGCTGAGAGCCGTCCCTGCCCACCCCTTCTCCATCAAAAAACAATTTTAGAGCTGAAATCAAAGTTATAAAATTAGAAGAAGGAATCTCTGCTGACCCCCCAGCCCTGCTCCCATCCCGTCCTGGCAGCATCTCCCATCCTTCCCCTCCATGGGGAGAGCGGAATTCCTGCGCTGCCCCGGGATTGCCGTTCCCATCCCCCTGGCCCCGCTGGCCCGGCCCCGGGGGATGCCTTTTGTGGGATTTACAGAGCCGAGTGCGCTGGGAACCCGGCGCAGACAGGGCCGCGATGTGCTGTGCATACTAATGCCAGGATCTGCCCCTGCCCGGGCACTGCCGGGTCAGCAGCTCCAGGGATGGGGATCCTCACACCCGGGTGGGTTTGCCAGCCTGGCACAGCCTTGGGGATGCGTCCGGCAGGAAATTCGGGGTGTTTATTGCAAATAAGGTGCCAGTTATTGTAAATAAGGTGCCAATTATTGCAAATAAGGTGCCTGTCCCAGAACCTGCAGCTCTGCCGCTCCATGGAACCGACCCAAACCTGCCCAGCAATTCCCAGCTCCATTCCCCCAAATGAACATTTTGGCTCAATCCCATTATTCCCTTCCTTGTGTTTTTTTTAGGAACAGCACCTCCGATGTGACAGCACTCCCCGGTTGTGCTTCTCTTTCTTGAGGAGACAGAAAAAGGAGAAAAATTCCTATGCTATGGCTGGTTTGTGAGTGAAGAGGGTGGGGAGGCGGCAGAAGTATTTTAGGGTGCAGCTGGGCTGATTTAAGCCTTAAGGACCCGATCTTCCTTGGCAGGAGGGCAGAGCAGAGGGAAAGTTTTGGTTTTGACACCGCCAAAAACAAAGTTTTGATTTTGGCACCACCAAAGCTCTGGTATCCCCTGTTGTTTTTATACCCCCTCTTATTTTTGCATCCCCTACTGGTTTTGTACTCCCACCTGTTTTTCTATCCCCTCTTCTTTTTATACCCCTGGGAGGGCAGGAGCCCATTCCTGGCTCTGCCATGGATGCCCCTGGCCTGGCACAGCCAAAACCCCTTTGCCTGCAGCACTCAGAGACCCAATTTGGTCCATTTTTTGTCCTATTTGGGTAAATTTTTGGCACAGTTTGGCCCTGGCTGGGCTGTGGGAGGCGGCTCTGCTTTGGGAGAGGTGATTTATGCCCTCGGCAGAGATTCCAAAACATCCTGATTTTATGGCATCCCCTCTGGCCCGCAGCCCGTTTCCTCCTCATGTTACATCTTGTCTGCTGCCTTTGGGAGAGCTCTGCGGGCAGGGATTGCCCTTCTCTCCCGTCCTGGGCCCTCAGAGCAGCAAAAGGCACCGGGAGCACCCGGAGATTGGGGCAGAGCAGGGCAGGATGAGCCCCTGAGCATCTCCCAGCTTTCCCTGGAGATTCCCGGCCTGGCTGGGATCCAAAGGAAGGATTCCCTGGCTGGGAATGGATGTGAGGAGCTCGTTGTGAGGATGAGGTGTTAATGAGCTCGGCAGGGATGGCCTCTGATTGGGAATGGCTGGAAATGAACTGGTCCAGGCAGGGTTACCTGGAGTGGATGAGGTTTTGTGACTCCATCACTTTTGTGGTGATTCCACTCCCACTTATTTTTATATCCCCCCCTTCTTTTTATACCCCCAGTTCTTTCTGTATCCCCTCTTCTTTTTATACCCCCAGTTACTTTTACATCCCCTCTTGTTTTTATACTCCCCCGTTATTTCTGTATCCCCTCTTGTTTTTATACCCCCACTTATTTTTACATCCCCTCTTGCTCTCAGACTCTCCCCAAGCCCAGGATGCTCTGGGGGTCTCTTTTTCAACCAAATTCCAGTGCTGGGCTCCATCCCTGTGGGTTTTCCAGCCAGCTCCTCCCTGCGCTGCTGCTTGTGGGGTGATGAAGGAGAGGAGGAGGAGGAGGAGGCGCTCAGAGCGCCCTGCTCTGCTCCAGCAATCCCTGCCTGGGATTTTCCGTTCGCCTCTCCCCGCGTTTGGCCCGGAGCCGGGCGCAGCTCCTGTTTTTCGGAGCACAAAGCTGTGTTTGCAGGTGAAACCCAACGCCGGGAGCCTCCCCCTGCTCGGGGAGCGGATGTGGGAGTTTCCTCCTCCTGGAGGCCTTCAGGTAACTCACCCACCTGCGGCCCCGCAGTTAAACCCAAACCTGTTTGTGCAGCGGCGAAAAAAAAAAAAGAAGGAAAAAAAAAAAGAAAAAAAAGAAAAATAACTTGTGCGGAACTGGGCTGGGTCTGTGGGTTTGCAGGAGCCTCTTTCCAGCAAATCCTTGATGGAAATGTCCCGGTGCCCCCTCCCGCCCGGGGCTGTGCTGGGACGGGCATGGCTGAGCAGGGGTTAACCCTTCCCGCTCTCAGCTTTGGGGATCCAGCCCTAATTCCGCACCCCACCGCAGCTTTTGGGGTGCAAAAGGGGAGAGGGAGATGTTGTGTGATTATAACAGTGAGAGCCCTGCTGATAGCACACAACAGTTGTTCAAATATGAAATTCCCTTTCAGAGAAGTAGAGAGAATAAAAAGCATTATTCAAGGAGGTCCTAGTTTAAAAAAAAAAATCCTTGAGTAATTTTTTAACTGAGAATAATTATTAATTTAGGCATCAAGGCTGCGCTGAAATCCACAGCCAACCCCATGAAACCCTCACGTCCATGAAACGCGGTGGAACTTTTCTTGGAGAGGGAATTTTCCCGCTTTGTTTTCGGGTTGAGCCTCGCAGCCCCACCGAATTTAGATGCAAATGCACTTTCCCTCCTGCTTTTTAATGTTTTACTTCTCCTAATTGCCGAGACCGGTTGTAATTTCGGGACGTGGCTGGCTTGCCGAAACCAGCTTCCCCTTGGAAAGCGCTTCCCATTGCCATTGGGGAGATTTGGGATTTATAATTCCTGCCCTCTCCCTATTCGGTTTTTTTTTGTTGTTGTTGTTTTTTGTTTTCAGGTGTCTCAGGTTGGAGGAAGCAAAGGAGCCGCCCTGGCTCTCGTTAGCGCCGGAAAGTCCTGAGGCGCAGGGGTGAACAATAACACGCGGTAACCCCGGAGGGCCGCGCTTGATTTTGTTGTGTTTTTAGGGCGGCTTTGCCGGGAAACAATCCCCGTTTGGGGCCAGGAGGCAGCGGCGGCTGCGTCAGCCCTGGAGCGGCTCCTGCGCTCTCCTCGTGGGGATGGATGGATGGATGGATGGATGGACGCGCTTTCCAAATCTCCAGCCCGTAACCCTGAGCCCGGATTGCGACACCGCGGCTGCCCCCGAAGCGGGGAGAGCTGCTCGGCGCGGGCTCTGCGGAGATGTTATCGCGCCTCTTGCACAACCAGTTATTCCAGAGCTATTCCACGGGGGGTTTGGGACGTGCTGTCCCTCCATCCCTCCAGCTGTGCCACCCCCGAGCCTCGGGAAAATGTCCCCGAGGTGTCACATTCAATTCCAGGTGTGTGTGTGCAGGGATGGGATGGAGAGAGAGGAGCAGCCGCTCGCTGAGCTGGTGCTGAGCCCCGTTTTCCCTCCTGTGCCACACTCAGCATTCCTGTGCTCCCATTCTCCTGCTCTCTGCCTGCTCCAGAGCCGCGGGGATCTCAGCTTTCAGCCCCAGCCCAGCTGTGCCACCCCCGAGCCTCGGGAAAATGTCCCCGAGGTGTCACATTCAATTCCAGGTGTGTGTGCAGGGATGGGATGGAGAGAGAGGAGCAGCGGCTCTCTGAGCTGGTGCCGAGCCCCGTTTCCCCTCCTGTGCCACACTCAGCATTCCTGTGCTCCCATTCTCCTGCTCTCTGCCTGCTCCAGAGCTGCGGGGATCTCAGCTTTCAGCCCCAGCCCAGCTGAGGCTGCAGAGGGAAGCAGAAAATGCTGCTGTCAGAGGAGTCGAGGCTTGCAGAGCCCAGCCAGGCTTGCAGGGGATGGGGCAGCCAGGCAGGAGTGGGGGCTCTGTCCTTGGAAAGCCTTTCCACGGAAATTGGGGAGGGTTTGCCCCTTATTTTTATAACTCCAGTTATTTTTGTATCCCCTCTTGGCTTTGCATCCCTTATTGTTTTTATATCCCCACTTATTTTTATATCCCACTTATTTTAAATCTTATTTTATTGTTTTTGTACCCCCATTTATTTGGTATCCCCTCTTGTTTATATATCCCCACTTATTTTTACATGTTTTCTTTTTATACCCCCAATTATTTTGGTATCCCTTCTTTTTGTACCCCCACTTATTTTTGTATCCCCTATTGTTTTTGTGCCCCCAATTTTTGTATTCCCTCTTCTTTTTGTATCCCCATTTATTTTGGTCTCCCCTCCTGTTTTTGTACCCCCACCTATTTTTGTATCCCCTTCTTTTTATATCCCCACTTATTCCTCTTTTCTTTTTATACCCCCACCTATTTTTGTATCCCCTCTTATTTTTGTACACCCACTTATTTTTCTATCCCTCTTATTTTTGTACACCCACTTATTTTTCTATCCCTCTTGTTTTTGTACCCCCACTTATTTTGATATCCCCTATTTTTTTATACCCCTCTTATTTTTGTGTCCCCTATTGCTTTTGTACCCCCAATTTTTGTATTCCCTCTTCTTTTTACACTCCCATTTATTTTTGTACCCCCTCATGTTTTTATACCCCCTCTTATTTTTACATCCCCACTTGTTTTTACACCCTCACCTATTTTACATCCCCACTGCCCCCACACCATGGCCCTGCTGCCCTTTCAGCCTCTCCACAGCATCCCAGCAGGTCCAGCCACTGCTTCCCTTCATGCCCCCTCTCCTGGCACGGGTGGCACCCAAGGGCCAGGACGTGGTGGTCACCCTGCTGGGATGTCCCTGGAGCAGTTGGCATTCCCAGCAAACCACCAGTGCCATCCTTGGCATCCCCACATTGGCATCCCTGGGGTCACAGCCTGCCAAACCAAATTCTCCTTGCTGGCAAACCATCCCTCAGCTCCAGGAATATCATCCCTCAGGGACCAGCAGCTCCAAAGGGATCCCAAACCCCTCAGGATTTTGGTGCCAAAAAGGAAAATCACTCATGTGGGAGCCCGGGCTGAACGCGCCATGGAGAGAGAGCAGACACAGAATCTGTGCCAGGGTGAGTTTTATAAGGTGAGAGCACTCGGGGATGTTTTTTCTCGGGGTGTTAGCAGACCCACAACCCAAACAAGTCAGGGAAGTTCTGTCCTTTCCCCCAGAGCAGCTGGCACGGAGGTAAAGCCCCATGGCTGGGAACAGGCAGCAGCCCCAGCGCGGCCAAGTTAAACAAGAGCAAGGTCAGCGCTCGATGGAGCAGCCAATAACGGCAGGGAGGAGGAAATCGCTGCCACAGCCGGAGCTCAGGCACCTACAGCCCCTCCGAGACCTGCAGCCTCCTCCCAGGGTGGCAGCGTGACAGCAAACGTGTCCCTTGGTGTCCCTCGGTGTCCCTAGGTGTCCCCTCCCTGCTCTCCTTGGGGCTCCCATTGCCATCTCGCTGTTTGTTTGTCGGGGAAGGGGCTGGAGGAGCCTCAGCCCCTGTGCCAGGAGCTCCAAACCCCCCCTAAGGGAGGGACAGTCCTGGCATCGTCTGGGGTCCCCAGGGAGGGACATTCTGGGTCCACAGGAAGGGACATTCCTGGCATCCTCCCGTTCCCGGGACAGGGATAGCTGGATCTGTGCCCACCGGGTGCCCACCTAGGCCATCATCCCCTGTCCAGCAGTGCCCACCCTGGCCAGCATCCCTTGCCCT